ACCTCCATCACTTTGAAAAGGGGCCTGAAATCCCTACCTGGGGGGGTTGGGAAACACCCAGGCAGGACCCAACAGGCCTCCCTCAATCACTGTGTCCGCTATGACTGTGGTCCACATGGTTCCGGAAAGCAGGGTTTATCCTCCGCATGTGCTCCATGTCCCCAAAACGGTGGGAACCTTTCAGAAAACCTGAGGATGACATATCACTACAGAAAGTCTAGGAAGAAAAGCAGGGAGCCACCCCCTCCAGGGCTTCCCAGCAGCGCTGGGGAGCTGCCACGGGGTGACCAGTCCCCCAGGACCTCGTCCCCTCCCCATCATGCTTGTCCCTCTGCAGCTGCCCTCACCCCAGGGACTTCCGTTGAGCTCCTCAGACATCAAAGTGAGCCTCGCATATCAAGGAGGCCACAGAGTGCAGGGTGTAAAGAAACCACTCTAGCGGCTACAAACACTGTAGAAAGCAGCCAAACACACAGTGTTCTTCACCATGGCAGGCAGGACCTGTCCCTTAAAAGGTTCCTAGGAGAGTCTGGGCTTGGCTCAGCTGCTACAAAATGGGGGTATCCCCCACGTGTGAAACATCCCCATGGAAAGCTCCAAAAGCAGGGGGAAGCTTCCAGCACCACACTCACTACCACTGAGCGTCTGGATGCTGGGCTTCGTGCCTGCCCAGGGCCACCCACAAGGAAGGCCTGAGTGTGATCAGTGGGCCACTGTAGGCCGGACTGAAGAGCCCAAGAGAAAAGGATGTCCAGAGAGCCACCAGGGTGTGGGTGGGCCCAGGCTCGGTGGGTGCTTGGCCACAAAGGGGCTCATCAGTGAAAACCGTACCCAGGAGTCTTTGCGACTGGGAGCAATGGGATGAAGTGAGCAAGGGGGTGGACAAGGGGCCACGGAGCTCACCTGAGAAGGCCCTGGTGGACTAGGAGGAGGCATGGGGACTTGGTCCTGTGGCCTGGGAACCCGGGAGGTTTCAGAGGGACGAGGCCATTAGTTCTCCAGGCCCCTGGGCAGCGCGATGATAAAATCTCCCAGGATAAGTAGCACTATGTCCCCTCACCGAAAATAAACCCACATGCCCTGGAGAAGGAAATCCCCCTCTCAGCCACAAAACTGGCTCTGATGTATTTTAAGACTGCTGTTATACAGCTGTTAGATTTCTACACTATAGCTGTTACCAGAGACATCCCAGCTACTTAAATCAGCCTGAGTTAAAGTAAATCAAAACAAAACCCTCCTGGGGATGGGTGGGAAGGCGCCAGTGCGGAACCCACACAGGTGAACAGGCCAGAGACCCCCTCCTTACTGCCACACCCTGCGGTCTGCGCATGCATTTGTTGGGCAGGTCTGTGTCAGGGTGGGAGCATGACTCAGGACAGGCTGCTGGAAGCCCCTGACCTTTCTCAATACCCACTCCTCCCACAAAGGACTCGAAGTATGGCTCGGGCACAGCGGTTGGGAGTCAGGCCGACTTGGATCCCCATGGTCCCTGGGCCATCTCAGCGGAGACCTTGGCAAGCCCCGAGCTGCAGTGGCTTCAACTGATAAAGGCAAGGCACAGCCCCTCCCCACCCCAGACTGTCACGGGACCACAGAAGACAGTGCGAGGAAAGCATGAATACCTAGCAAAGAATAGGCAGCCTCTGAGAGCAGCCTCGCCTGCCCAGAAATACAGGGAATAGGGGCACCTGGGCGGCTCAGTCGTTAAGCATTTGCCTTCGGCTCGGGTCATGGTCCCAGAGTCCTAGGATTGGGCCCCATGTGAGGCTCCCTGCTCAGCGGGGAGCCTGCTTCTCCCTCTCCCACTCCCCCGCCTGTGTTCCCTCTCTTGCTGTGTGTGTCTCTGTCAAATAATTAAAATCTTAAAAAAAAAAAAAAGAAATACAGGGAATATAGTCAATAATATTGTAATAATGTTGTTTGGTGGCTGTTGGTGGCTCCATTCATCATGGTGAACACTGACTAATGTATAGAATTGCTGAATCAATATGCTATCCACCTGAAACTAATATAAGATTGTATATACACTTCAATAAAAAATTCCATAACTTAAATAAATAAACGTATATATGTATATACGTATACCGTGCTGTCATGGGGTCTATCCTGCACTTAGCACTGGGCCATGACATACAAACATCATGACATACATCATGAGCTATCAGAACACCTGCCCTGCACCCCTTCCCACCCCCTCTATCCTTTCTGGTGCTCTAGTCCGACACTCGGAGCCATTCTTTATCTCTTCTTCTCCCTGGCCCCCACAATACTCACTGTATCAGCAGGTCCTCCTGGTCCTACTTCCAAAACATCTCTTTCATTCACTCCCTTCTTGCCAACTCCCTGGTCCATGCCCCACCATCTCTCTCTGGACCACACAATGCTCTCCTAACTGCTTTCCCTGCTTCCTCTCTTGAGCCCTGCTGTCTGCCCCACTGCCAGGCCGTTCCCCACTTTGCAACTAGAGCGATCTTAAAATATTTGTAATTTTTTTTTTTTTTTTGGTGAGGTACCTTTTTTCCAGCTTTACTGACATATGATCCTCACAAAGTACTTGCAATTCAAATTTTCAAATGGGAGATACATTCACATGGTTCAAAAAGGTTAAAAAAAAGTTAATACACAAAGCTGGACAGTGAAGAATCAACCCCCCAGCGCTCCCCAATTGTCCGCCCCCTAGCTCTTCAAACAGTGAAGCTCTTCCCTCAGCTTCCTTAAGCAAACACAGCAGCAGGAACACAGGCCCTCATTTCTGCCTTTTCCACCCAAAAGACAGACACCGCAGAGCCTGTTCTGTGCTTTCCTGTCTTCAGACAATACCTCTATATGACAGGCACACTCATTCCTCTTTCTGCTGCATGGTGTTCCCCTGCACAGTCGGATGGACCATGACACTCCCCTATTAGTGGGTGTTTGAGCTGTTTCCAGTGTTTTCCTATTTCCAAAAGTTACTTTCATGAATGACCTCGTACTGATGTCCTTTCTCATGTATGAGGCAAGTCAATTTCCAGAAGTGGAACTGGTGAGAGATAATGCCAAATGTATCTTCCACAAGCAATGTCTGACAGGGTCTGTCTCCACACTCTCTTACCAAGAGAACGCATGCTCAAAGTTGTGCATTTTTGCCAGTTTTCTCGTATTGATGAAAAATGGCACCTTGGCATAGTTTTGATTTGCATTTCTCTTACCTAAGTAAGGCTGAGCATCTTTCCTATGCTTAGGGGTCATTTACCTTTTCTTCCTTGTGAACTGATTGTTTGTATCTCTTGTGCATTTTTCTCTTAGGCTGTTGTTTTTTGTTTTTTGGGGTTTTTTTGCTGTTGATCTCTAGATTTGGGGGCATAATTATAAAGGTCCTCTACTCTAAGATTTCAAAGGAAATCTCTCCTGTTTTCATTTGGTACTTAAACAGTTTTGCTTTTTACGTTTCAAGTTCTTTAAAACATAAATCAGATCACATGACACTCCCGCCTAAAATCTTCAGTGACTTCCCACTTGCACTCAGGATAAAATCCAGGCACATCTCCGCAACAAGTCCCCACTATAGCCACGCTCCTCCTCTTTGTTTCCGTGAACACGAACGTGCCAAGCTCTCTTCTGCTGCTAGGCCTTTGCAACCGCTGTTCCCTCTAGCTGTAATGCACTTCCTCTGCTCCTTCTCCCAGGTGGCCCTTTGTACCCTCTGGTTGAGTCCAATGCCTTCTCCTTAGAGAAGTCCAACCTCCCCTCTGTCACTTTTTCAGCAAATCTTGCGTTTACTCGTCTGCATCCAAGTTTACTGTCCATTTCCCTTGCAGACATGAGCCCCATGAAGACTTGTCTGCCTCAGTCACGGCTCCGAGACTGTGGCCTCATGCTTCGCCATACTAGGTTCACTTAACCCCAAAATATAGCCAGCGCCCTCTGCTGCATTCCCATAATGTTCTTGACACCATAAAGTGCCATCACATAATGTTCTTGTTCATGACAGAGTTTGTCTGAAGCCTTGGGGTAAAGAAAGACTAAAGCAAAGAGCAGAACTTAAACCTGGACTTTAGGAAATGAAGCTCCCAGGGCCGTGGGGAGTCTCCTAGGTCTGGGATGCCCTTCACATGCACTCCTTGTGGTCATGTCTCCGTTTTCTGAGTTCCTGGCCTCTCAAACACCTCCAACTTTGCTACACAGGACAGTTTGGCTCCTGTACAGACTGGTAGGGTGGGCTCCCTGAGAAGGACCAAGAGGCTCACTTAATTGCCATCTAGAGGTAGGTAAATTGAGTCCTAGTGAGGTCAAGCCACTAACCCAGGGTCCTCCAACCAGTGAATCTGGGAAGCCAAGTCCTGGGCAATTAGCCCTTCCTGGCTGCCCATCAAAATCATGGCAGCACTGGCCTGTCGTGCCAATGGCAACTACAAAGCGGAGGGTCCAGGGGCGCCAACCGTGTTCCTTGCGTGGTTTTCTGTGCTCAAGATTTGGTGGACAAAACGCCCTCCCCCTCCTCTCCACCCCCAAGCAAATGATGCCAGCACATACATAATTTAAAGTTTTCCGGTAACTACATTAAAATGTAAAAAACAGGTGGAATCTATTTAATATATTTTATTTGACCTAATATATTCAAACTATTATCACTTCCACATGTAATCCCTATAAAGCAACACAAAGAGCTCTTCACGTTTCTGTCACTAAGTCTTCGAAATCCGGCGTGGACTGTACACTAACCGCACAACTCGGTTCAGACCAGCCTTATCCCAAGCGCTCAGCTGCCGCAGGAAGGCAGGGGCTGCCCGCTGGGACAGCGAACCTCGGACCAGCACAGGCCCTACGCTCAGCGGCGGGTGCGGCGGCGGGGTCCGGCCCGGGGTGGGGGGTGGGGGGGGAGGCCCCAGCACGGGGGGCGGGGCCAGAGCCGCAGCTCCGCCCCCGTCCGCCCCCGTCCGCCCCCACCCCCGGCAGGGGCCAGAAACGGCCGGTGGGACCCAGCTCAGCGCCGAGCCTTGCGCCCACCGCGGCCCACTCACCTCGCCACCGCCTCCACGGAGCCAGGGATCGGCGTGCCGCCGTCCTCACCGCCGTCGTACAGCACGCCCGAGATGTCGAGCAGCACCCCGCGCACGCCGGCCAGCCGCTCGCCCCACGCGGCCATCGTGCTCTGCCGTGGGCCTCAGACTCCGCGTCCCAACACCCGGCTGAGAACGGCGGACAGGCTCGCCGCGCAGGGGCTCCTGGGAAGTGTAGTCCTGGACGGTACAGTCCGGCGGGGCGGGGCGGGGCGGGGCCAGCGGGGTGGGCCGGGTGTAAACCCGGAACGGCGGGGCGCAAACCCCCGGACCCCTGGCTGCCGCCTCTCCATTTCCGGGTCACACACCCCCGAAATCGGAGCCATCTCCATAGGAGAGCTCTGTGGACAAAAGGCAGGAAGAGCAAAAAACAAGCCCCTGGGAAATAGTCAACCCCCTTAAAAACCAGAGCAAGGCAAATCAAGACAAGGAGGCACCTGTAAAGCAGCAAACATTAAAGAGATCCGTGCTTCATTGGTGGCCTCATCCTTTTGCTGAGAGTGTGACAGCCCTAAAAGCAATGGAGATAGTTAGACCAATTGGCCGGATAATCCCACGCCTGAGAAGTGATGCTAAGGAAGTGATGCTAAAGACGGTGAGTGCAGTGTAAGCTCTCACGCCAGAACAAGCTGGAGGAAAAGTCAGTGTGCAAACAAGTGTAACATGGCTACAGAAAGAAATATTATGCCACCAAAAATGAAAACTAGGGCACAACATGGAAACTGCTTGTGTTATAACATATGAGAAAGCAGCCTACAAAACTAGTAAATTTTACATTACCAGGCAGTAATGTAGACCACAGCCCTGCAAAATTAAGGATGCGTAGGAATAGGGCTGGGAAGAAAATGGGAACATTGCAGTGTGTTAGGCCAATGACATTTTGGATGAATTGTTACAATCCATTTCATGTCACCTCATTTTTGCAATAAATAGAAATTGATAGAAAAGGGGACGTTTCCTTGACTGCCCCTCTGACCTTTCCAAGTATTTAAATTGAAACTTGAGGGGACCCTGGGTGGCTCAGTCAGTTAAGCGTCTGTCTTCAGCTCAGGTCATTATATTGGGGTCCTCGGATGGAGCCCCTGGAGAGGCTCCCTGCTCAACGGGGGGCCTGCTTCTCTCTCTCCCTCTGCCCCTCCCCACACACACTCGTGCTCCTGCTCACTCACCATCTCTCTCTCAAATAAAAAATAAAAATCTTTAAATTGAAAAAAAAGAAACTTGAAAAAAATCAGACTCCTCTAGGCGTGACTTAGCTTTGAGGTATCAAAAGAAGACTATATTAGAATGGCCACTTCATTTTAAGTTCTTCAGTCACAGACGGGACATAGAATTCGTCAGAATCTTAGAATTTTAACTCAATTCAATGAATTGTGCATATCGTATTGCTAAGTTCACTGGGGAATTTTGTACTCTGTTGATTTTACAGGAGGAATGTAAAATGTAGTTCCTGCCCTTTGGGAATTTACAATCTGGTTGAGGGAGAAAAGAATATTAGACCTTAAAACAAACCAAAAAAAAAAAAAAAAAGAATATTAGCCGTGGGTCTTAGCTGCAGAAAATAGAAACCACACCAACTAAAGGTTTACACAGGCAGTAAGAAGCTTACAGATTTCCATGGGAACTGGAGAACCAAGCTCAAGTACTATAGAGCCAAGAGCCATGCAGCTATGAGAAATGCCCGACTGCATTGCTCCATTGGGGTAACTTGGCTCCTAAGTGACCAGGGACCTGACAGTACAGGCCCCAAAGAACCAAATCCACCCACCACCATGCTCTTGAAGGATTCTCTCCACCTGTGGCTACCACTTACCTTGCTTTCACCATGTCTAGCTTGGTAGAACCTAGCCCAAGCTGCAAGGGAATCTGGAAAATGCAGTTTTTAGCCATCCAGATTCTGTGGTACAGGAGCTGAGTGAGTCAATCTGGGTAATCTGCATGAACATCATGCTCTGTATACATGTATTGAACGTTTACTTTGTGGGCTCAGGGCTCTAGGAATGCAAAAAGGTCAAAGGCATGATCTTTGCCTTTGAGTCAAGACTGCAGAGAACAAGATACACACTTTGAAGATTGCTGATTAAATGTGTGCCAAGCCAAGGAGTGACATAGCCACAGCTGAGAGGGTGGGCTCTGTTACCCAGAGAAGGCAGCAGTGGTTTCTGAGCTGAGGGACAGCCTGAAATGGACCTTGAAGAGGAGCTTCCTGCCAAGGAGGAGAAGCAAGGGCATTTCTACCAGTGGTGAGGAGCCTGCCCATGGTTCTCCCTCTTCTACTGGCCGTGTATGACCTTGGGTAAATCACTTTCTTTATCTAGGATTATGGTAGACAAAATAATGTCCCTAGAAGGTGTCCACATCCTTCTCTCCAGAGCCCGGGAATGTACTACCTTACCTGGCACAAGTACCTTTGCAGATGCAATTAAGCTAAGGATCTTGAAATGGGCGGTTATCCCGGATGATCCAAATAGGCTCAGTGTGATCACAAGAGTCCTTATAAAGGAAAGAGGGAGACAGGAGAGTCAGAGTCAGAGAAGGAGACATGACAGAAGCGGAGCTGAGAGAGAAAGAGAGGGAGTAAAAGAGAGAGGGAGGGAGGGAGAGAGAGATTCGAAAATGGCCTTGAATATGAAGGCGCCTTGAGCCAAGAAATGCAGGCAGCCTCTAGAAGCTGGAAAAGGGAAAGAAATGGATTCTCCTCTGAAGCCTCCAGAAGGAATTCAGCCCTGCTGACACCTTGATTTTAGGGTTTCTTGCCTCTAGAACTGGAAGATAATAAATTTGTGTTGCTTTAAACTGCTACGTTTGTGCCAGTTTGTTACAGTACCAGTAGGAAATGAATACAGGGACTCAGGTTCCTCATCTGAAGAATGACATTGGTCCAAGGTGACAACATGGTATTTTGAGCCACTGACGGACTTGGACCTAGCCTAAAAGTCCATGACCTTTCTTTGGGTATAATGGGTGAAAGGCATTATATAAGTTAGGGTTTCATTTGGCTGTGTGTAACAGAAACCCAACTGTAGTTGCTCAACAAAATAGAGATACTTTTCTCATATCAGGAACTCAAGAGGGAGGCAGGCCTGGGCAGGTACAATAGCTTCCAGGGATATTGGAATAGACTCCTTCCCTCTCCTGCTCGTCTATCCCTAACATGAGGCTTTCACCTTCATGCTCTCAAGGTGCCTACTGCATCCCTAAAACATTATGTCTGCATTTCAGGCAAGAAGAAGGGGAAGGAAAAGGGCAAAGGACCTCTGACAGCTGAGTCTTGCCCTTATACCAAGAAAACAAAAGCTTCCCCAAAAATCCTGATCCAATAGACTCTTGTTTATATCTTTTGGGCAAGAGCTAGCTCAGTTACTCTAGCGTGTAGAGCTTCGGGCCTGTTATATTTCCAATTATAAGTCTACAAATCATGTCTGAATTTCCACTCCAATGTGAATCCATTTAATCTTCTATGGCCATAGTAGATGTCATATAGTCCTTCTAGATTTGCTGGTATTAGCTAGGACTCTTTCGTTGGCAGTAACAGAAACCCAATTTCAAATGGCTTAAATTTCAAAGGAATGTTTTGGCTCCCATAACCAGATAGTCCAGCAACTGATGGCTTCAGGCATGGCTGGTTCCAAGGCTTAAATGGTAATATCCTAGGCTCTCCGACTCTCCATTTCTTGGTTCTGCCCCATCTTTGGGTTGACTTCCTTCTCTCTCAGTGTGGTCAGGCTTTCTCCAGGCAACTGGGAGAGAGAGCTGTGACAGTTCCAGGCCAAAAGAATGCCAGGTAAACCACATGGGGAAGAACTTATGCCTCAACTTGGTCTGATGCTTCCAGAAGGAACTCTGGCCCTCTTGTATCAGAGCCCTCAAACTCCTCATGTCTGTGTTCAGAGGGAAATGGTACTATGATGATCCAGCCTGACCTAGGTGCCCTACCAGGGCTGGTATTCACAGTCTTACCGCACATGGAATTTGGGAGGGGAAGCCTCCCAGCAAAAAGCAGGGCACTACTACAAGAGCGCTAAGGTCTAAAAGTTTGTGTCCTCGAGAAAATTCGTATGTTGAAATCCTACGCCTAACATGATGGTATTAGGAGGTGGGGCCTTTGGGAAGTGATGAGGTCATGAGGATGGAGTCCTCATGAATGGGATTCAAGCAACCCAGGGAGCTAGCTCATCTGTCCATCCCATGACAGCACTACAAGAAATCAGGCAGTCTGCAATCTGGAAGAGGTTGGACCAAACCCTGTTGTGCTGGCACCCTGATCTTGAACTTCCAGCCTCCAAAATTGGGAGCAATAGGTTTCTGTTGTGTAGAAGCCACCCAGCCTGTGGCATTTTGTTTAAATAGTCCAAGTGGATAAGAAAAAGAAGGAAGAGATACTGTGCAGGCAAAATTAGGGTCCCCCACAGGAAACTTCTATTTTTTTTCAAGATTTTGTTTATTTATTTGGCAGAGAGACAGAGAGAGAAAGCACAGGTAGGCAGAGTGGCAGGCAGAGGGAGAGGGAGAAGCAGGGTCCCGACTGAGCAGGGAGCCCAACGTGGGGCTCGATCCCAGAACCCTGGGATCATGACCTGAGCCGAAGGCAGACGCTTAACCAACTGAGCCACCCAGGTGCCCCAGGAACCTTCTATTCTTATCAAAGTTTGTCTCCCCTGGAAAGTGAGACCAGACACCAAGTAAGGTCTGGGTGGGCCAAGGGGTCTTCTGTGTTACTGAGGTGGGCCATAGTAGAAAAGAAAGTAAGGAGCCATCGGTCGAGAAGTGCCTCTTAGATTTCCATGTACATTAAAATCACCTGGAGGGCTTACTCAAACAGAGTTTTGGATTGAGGAGGTCTGGGTTGGGCCTGAGAACCTGCATTTCTTACAGGCTCCCAAACAATGCTGATGCTACTGGTCTCTGGATCTAGATCAACGTTTCTCAAATTTTAAGATACATGTGAATTTCCTGGGGGAACTTATTAAAATCCATATTCTGATTCAGTAGGTCCAGGGTGAAAAGAGATTCTGCATTTCTTTTTTTTTTAATTTAGTTTAATTTAATTTAATTTTTTAAAAAGATTTTATTTATTTATTTGACAGAGAGAGAGAGAGAGAGAGAGAGAGAGAAGGAACACAAGCAGGGGGAGCAGGAGAGGGAGAAGCAGGCTTC